GTAAGTACATTTCCCAGAATACTATGACTTAGTCTACTATGGATTTCTTTTTTTCTACAACTTGAAATCTATTTTTTGTTGTTACATCATTGTAAAAACCAATGGTTATTCTAAAAACTAGAGTTTGCCCTGGCTGGTGTTTATCAGTTGGTTGGAGTTCCACCCCCTAGCTGAAAGGTTGCAGGTTCGATTCCTGTTCAGGGCACATACCTAGATTTCAGGTTTGAACCCTGGTCCAGGCACATAGGGACCCCAAGTCCAGGTGCATATGGTAGACAATTGATTGATGTTTTTCTTTCACATTGATGTTTCTCTGTCTCCCTTCTTCTCTTCTAAAAGCAATGAAAAAATGTCCTTGAGTAAGGATAAAAAAGAATAAAAATAGAGTTTTTCAGTTAAGAATTAAAAATAATATGATAATGACAGCTCATTTAATATATTTCCTGGAAAAAATCTCTATTAAATTTTTTCTTGTTTATGATACAATAACTCATATTCTTTTAAGAACATTTAAGAACCAAATGAATAAAACAGTAAATATTACTGAAAATTTCACCAATGACTTGGTGCTGAATGCATATACTCCTTATCTTTGCATGTAAGTATATAAATTCATATTTGTATGTGTTTAAAGGATCATATTCTATGTGCTATGACTTGTTTTGTTAATTTCACCCATGTGTGATTTTAGCTATTCTTATTTCATTATAAATTCTTATCATATATGTAGAGCAGTTTGCTAGTGAAAGACCAAAATGTCTGTGTAGAGGCTGTCTTTGATTCATCTCTGTTGAAAAAAAAAAAAAACAGTATCTTGAAAAATGGTGTGCCACGTGGAAAGTGTTTATTGACTTATTTTTGTTATTTGTCTTATTTTTCCACTTTTTGCTATTAGCAAATATTCTTAAAATTCTCTTGGTCTCTTTACTTTCTTCCCCACTGAAACAAATTAAAGGCCTATGACTATTTTGATTTTTTGAACAGATTTATTCATCATTCCATTGTTTCTTTACAAGAACTTTTATCTGTTAACTCTTTAGTGTTAGAATAAAAGACTTGTTTTTCCTCATCTTAAAGTAATTCAGGAATAAGTAACAAGAAAAGAAGTCCTGGTTTTCTACTTAAATTTCACTCTTTCCTCTTTCTTTTTCTTTCGACACAGGACAAATGGTGCATAGTTAGGAAAGTGATTGGAACTAAACAAGATCTATTTATCCAATCTTACCCTGAATCCCATTATTAAGGTGACTGAGAAGTAGGTGACAGGGACACATTTGTGATTCACCTTCCACATTCAGGGGCTTGTGACCTTCCTGGAAAGGATGAGAGAGGCGTTCTTTTTCCTAGCCTCTTAGGCATTCCTTGGGCTCCTGCATCTCATGCTGCTCTCTTCCTGTTTTCACCAGCGCACAGATTGGCCTTACACGTATGCTTCTCAGCCTCAGTATTGGATCTTGCTCTTCTTATGATCATATATTTTTGGATACATACACTTAAAAATAAAACACTGGAGTATTTCTATTCACATATAATTTTAAATTAAAATGAATTAAATACCTTTATAATATAACTTTTTAGAGTATGCCCCCGTTATTTTTGTTTATTATAATTTTGGTAATGAATCTTTAAAATACACAACTTTAATACCTTAAACACAATTCTAAAATTTAAAAAGTCCTGAAAATTAAATAGGTGCATTTTGTTTTGCTTGGTTGAGTTTTATTGGTAAGTTTTTTTTTAAAGCAAAGCCTGATATAAACCAGTTTGGAAGCAACATTTGACCTGAACTAACTGTAACCAAAAAAAAAAAAAAAAAAGGAAAAAAAAGAGACCCTATACTCTTTATTTACTCTACTTTGTATGACTAATCAGATGTTTTACTCAGGAAAAAGAAATGTGTTGGATTACACAGTATCCTTAGAGATCCTGCTGGATGCATCATATAAAACATGATATATGTATTATATTTCTTAAATCCAAAATATTTTGAAAAATACTCCCCAAAGATTATATATAAGAGATTGTGACTTGCATTGCCACAATAGGTTTATAATAATAATTTTAAATATATATCTTTTGATTAAAAATCAAATACAAAGATGGAACCGACATTTTTAAGGACTCTTAAAAACATTCTTCTCTCCCTCTCTTACGACAGAGCCTTTTCAGTACTATTCTGTGTTGTACCCACTCTTTTCTGTCTGTTCATCTCTCTTGATGTCCAGACTCAGTAGTGCCTTAGGGACTTCGTTCCTATCGCACAGTTTGGTGGAAATGATAGCAGTTCTCCTTTCAGTGTTGTTGTCCCTGGTAGTGTTTTAAGACTTGTGTCGTTTTGCTAAAGGCACTGGCTCTGCCCCCTTCTTTGACTTCCTTTTGAGATTTCCCACTGAGCTAGACTTGCCAAACATTTTTTTCTGTATTTCTTGAAGGGAAATGTCACTGTGATGCAAACCATAATGAAGTACTATTTTCAGCGCTTTTCTTTTGGTGGCCAGGATTTATTAGAATGCTGTCTAAAATGATAGTATATAAAAAAATAATGTATTAAATTACAGACTCTGTGGGTATAAATTTTCCAAAGAATGCCAGAAATCTTTTATATGGGATCTAGATATGTGTTTTCAAGAGTTATGCCTATTCTCGAGGGTTTGGGTAAATGAATTTCATCAGATAATAATTTTGGAAACTTTTTTTATTCATAAGAACACTTTGCATGGAGACAATTAGGCTTACTTAATGAATCCACGTTTTCCAAATATAACCTTAATTGAAGACTACAATTTTTAAGTTTAAGTATGTTTTCTATGCATGAATCTGTTAACTTTAAACCTGTATATCATTGTTAATAAGAAGGTAGCTAACTTATTAATACTGTGTTTAAGTTTGAAAACATTGGTGTCTAAAATGAGATTACTGTTTTAACATCTATCTGTACTTGAATTTTGATTTGATGTTGGACTCCTCAACTGGATAGGAATTCATTTTTATAAACCATAAACATGTGTACTACTTTACTTCAGGTCATTTCAGTATTTTAGGAAATGCTAAAACAGTAGCATTTATTTTATGTTTGGAGTCACAGTTTTAGAATCAGCACCTATACTATATAGATTGTTATTTTATTTTTGTAAATTGGTTCCACAAGTGGAGCTTCCATCAATCTCAGGGAACTTAAAACACAAAAGGGGCATAAAATAGAAATACAGAAATACAGAAATAATGCATGTAAGGATTATACTTACAACAACAAATTGAGGCAGACTATGTCATGGATATAATAAAAATTTTAACAAATAATATCAGAATTAGCCTTTATTTTTTTGTGATAAGTTCTCTCTAAAAATTACCCTATAAAATATTAATTTTATGTCCATCAGTAGTCCTGGAGAGTTTTATAATAGTGAAAATATATATCTCATTAAATCCCATAAGTTCTGATCATGTTTCTAAACTTGAGAGCTAATACCTACCTAAAATAAAATTGAGTTATAACTCATTATTTTGATGAGAAAATTTAGTTTCAGAAGAGGAACCTGCTACAATGTTGATTGATATAAAATGAGGGGGTTTTTTGACAGATATTTTGAAATATTTGTGACACTTTATCAACATTTTAATAAGTTGAAATTAATCTGAATTAGCAATTCTCCCCACTTAATTTTCTGAAATTTCTTGTGTAGTAAAATTGATCTACTTTGAATTTATAAAGTAACTACAAAATGTATTTTTTGTTTACTATTTCAATCAAGAATATGGTTTGCTCTGTATTATTTTCAGAGAATATTGTAATTATGTTCCTTGACTTAATATAACTTTTAACTTGGCTTTTAAAAATTATAAAAGCCTTCCAAGTGTTCTACGAAGTATAATTCCTTAATAAAAGTACATTTATAAAGGGGCAGATTTCATAACCACATAATGATTTAATTTTCTAATATCTGACCTAATCATTTTTACAAATATTTTTTATTGAAAGCCAATCAATTTCAATTTTTTTATAATTCTAGACTTTGAGAGTCCAGTTTTTGAAGGGAACTAACAACTGTATATTTAAGAGAAACATGTAGAATTAGTTCTACTTAAACCTACTCTTTTAAATGTATGCATTCTTTGTATCTTTTCCTTAAAACCATACTAAAATAATAGTAAAAGGATAAAACAACAACAACAAAAACAATAGAACACATCTCAACAAGGATAGAGAGAATGGGAAAGGAGATGGCAGAAAAACAATTCTGGAGAAAAATCAGATCAGAAAATGGCCACTGCTTAGCACACTAACAAAAGCTTAAATAAAAATTGTCAGAATAGACAGAAATAAGTATACTTATGCTACAGAATCCTTAAAAGGTTCAGGAATTGGAGACACCACTTAGCTCTTAGAGTGAGAGTGTAATTGAATCTAAAATCAGAAGAACTACCCTGGCTGGTGTGGCTCAGTTGGTTGGAGCACGTCTGGTAAACTGAAAGGTCACAGGTTTGATTCCTGGTCAGGACACATTCTTAAGTTGCTGATTTGGGCTTGGTTGGGGTGTATATAGGAGGCAATCGATCAATGGATGTTTCTTTCTCGCACCCATGTTTCTTCCTTTCTTTCTCTCTCTTTTTTTCCCCCTTTCTCCCCCAACAATCTAAAATCAATAAGTATGTCCTCAGATGAGGATAAAAAAATAAATAAAATTAAAAATATCAGAAGAACTGGTTGAAAGTATGTGTAAGTTACATACCCAGATCTCTTCTCACATATCATACAGTTCGATGCCTAACCACCTCTCTTGTCCTGCCAACTCCTCAGTGAATCCCTGTGGAAGAGGAGGTTTTTTGTTTGTTTGTTTGTTTGTTTTGAGATATTGAACCAGAGAAAATATGAATTAAGAAATCTGGAATCATAAAAAACAAGCTGTAACATACTGTAATTAAATCAGAGTTATTAAATGAAGGTCTATATATTTATCACAGTCCTTTCTCACACTTGGTCTGAGAATGCTTTCTAGGAA